TAGTGCTATAATAACGTTTTTGTTATATTTTATTGATTATATTAACGAACAAATATTAATACAATAATTTAATTGTAAAAAATTATTTTTTTTTTAATTAATTATTTTTGTTTTTATTTTTCATTATTATTTTTTTTTTATTTAACTTCATTTATTCTGTACGGAGATCGCTTAAGAATACCTCTATTATAAAAATTATAAAATTATAATAGTAAAACTTAATTCAAAAATACATTGCAGAATATCTTGATTTTTTTATTTAATATTTGCAATTTAACATTTTGTTTTATATATTTACTGATTCTTAGAAGTAATTTAAATTGTATATACTTCCCCGGAAATGAGTCATATTAATATCTGTTTTATAAACTAAAATAATATATACCTAATCTGAACTGCTTTTAATGAATAGCTGGATGATTTTAATGATGGATTTTTTAGTAAAATTGTTATATCGCTATTAAAAAAACCATTTTTATTTTCTTTATTTTATTCGGAAGTTGGACCATATCATAAAAAATAGGAACTTTTAATATTAAAGTGCATTATTCCCTCTGCACAAAAGAAATATGGAAAGGGCGAAGCTATAAGTTCTTCTAGGTAACTGGAACTGATTGTTAGTATTTGGTCTCAAAATGAGGGAAAACGCGAAATTGAACCCAAACATTGGAAAAATACATTAAGCGAACGACAGTGCCAAAATTTCGGAAAAGAAAACAAGGATCAGTATCCATTATATGGCTAAACGAATATATAGTAGACAAATGAACAGAATATTTCAAGATGCTGCTTTCAGAATATTTCAAGAGGGTAAAAATGCTTGATCAGTTTGGATGATATTAAACAGGTTTATTATGGTGAAGACCATTTCATCAGCAAGAAAGATTAGTTCTAGGCAATTGGCAAGTCAGCTGGTCTGGAAGAAATAACCCGAAATGCTGTGCGTACAAAGGCTACAAATTTATTAGAAAATGATATGAAAGGACTGTAGTTTTGTCCCTTTACAGGAAATGAGATACTAGGAAATGTTATTCGAGATTTCTTACTGTTTATTTAGACAAACGTAAACCAAAGAATCGTATAAGCTAAAATTAGAAATATTGTCGATTGCCAAAACGATAGGGTTTGAGAAACTCAAGTTGCACATTGGAACAGAAGTTGCAAATTTCGACTGTCTTCACTTTAAGGTAGGTTATCGAGAAGTCCACAGAGAAAGAAAAATGGTTCTCTATTTGCTTAGTGCCTCACACTTTGGATTGATCGAATATCTACTAGTCTTTCACAAAAGCTCGTTTTCCTTTGAGATTCATTCAAAAATCTTTTGCAATTGCACTAAAGAGGAGCAGAGCTATTTCCTTTTATCGATAGACCTCTGTATAACCTGCTTCAGAGTGAAGATAGTCCCAATGTACAACTTCAATAGCAATCTAAAATAAAGTGGTTTACACCATTATCAACCTTGTTTACTTCCTCCAGACCTGCTTGCCAATTGCTTGGAGCAAATCTTTCTTGCTGATAAAGTGTTCTTCACCATAATAAACCTGCTTAACATCATCCAAACCCATCAAGCATTTTTACCCTCTGAATATTCTGAAGCAGCATCTTGAAATATTCTGTTCATTTGTCTACTATATATTCGTTTAGCCATATAATGGATACTGATCCTTGTTTTCTTTTCCGAAATTTTGGCACTGTCGTTCGCTTAATGTATTTTTCCAATGTTTGGGTTCAATTTCGCGTTTTCCCTCATTTTGAGACCAAATACTAACAATCAGTTCCAGTTACCTAGAAGAACTTATAGCTTCGCCCTTTCCATATTTCTTTTGTGCAGAGGGAATAATGCACTTTAATATTAAAAGTTCCTATTTTTTATGATATGGTCCAACTTCCGAATAAAATAAAGAAAATAAAAATGGTTTTTTTAATAGCGATATAACAATTTTACTAAAAAATCCATCATTAAAATCATCCAGCTATTCATTAAAAGCAGTTCAGATTAGGTATATATTATTTTAGTTTATAAAACAGATATTAATATGACTCATTTCCGGGGAAGTATATACAATTTAAATTACTTCTAAGAATCAGTAAATATATAAAACAAAATGTTAAATTGCAAATATTAAATAAAAAAATCAAGATATTCTGCAATGTATTTTTGAATTAAGTTTTATTATTATAATTTTATAATTTTTATAATAGAGGTATTCTTAAGCGATCTCCGTATAGAATAAATGAAGTTAAATAAAAAAAAAATAATAATGAAAAATAAAAACAAAAATAATTAATTAAAAAAAAAATAATTTTTTACAATTAAATTATTGTATTAATATTTGTTCGTTAATATAATCAATAAAATATAACAAAAACGTTATTATAGCACTATAACTAAGCCATTTATGAGTACTGAGTGGTGTGGTAGAGGCCTGTAGGCACCCACGCCAGTAGCGCTTTTCTGCGGCTTAAGCACATTTTATACGGAACTACTTCAAATATTTTAAAAAGTAATCAGTGTTTTAGAAAGAGAAATGTATTCTTCAGATGTTTTATTTCAGCACGTTTTGCATTATTGTTGACCGTTTAATTACAAACGACGCTTGATTTTCGACTTGAAAATTTTTTTGTAAAAAAAATTGACTTTACCGATTTTTTTTAATGCCTAAGCCAATTAGTTTTTAATATTTTTTCATGTTTTATTATTCTCTGACTATCCAGCTTTAATAAAAGACCAACTATAATGAAATTAAGCCAAATGCTGATTCTCAGTAACAAAAAAACTAACTAAAGTCAAAGTCGTCAATCCGCCATGTTTGGACGCCATTTTGGGGCAGTTCGTTCACTTTTTTTTGTGGGAACATTGGCTTTTTTTTAATAAATTGTCACAAGGAACACAACGATATGCAATTTATAGGGATGTGGGGGGGTGCACGGTAAGGGGGTCTGGCCCACCGTGTATTGGTCTCCCCATTACTTTTACCTCAGTCCCCCCTCCACTTCTCGTGAATGAACCTTTGATTTCCGGATGTTCGGAAATCCGCAGCGCACCATCATCAGTACTTCATTCACTACCTTTCACGACAATTCGGAACGTCATTAGTGCAATTCCGATTGACCGTGTAGGGTCCCCTTTACAATCTTTTAAATTATCTAATCTAATCCTAACCCTTTTTTAGATTATTAAACAAACAAAATTAAGTTTATTAATAATTGTACCAATAAATAAATTATGGTATTATTTATTACAAATCGGGGAGTCTATTTCCCTTGACTCACTTGGTCAATAATTGATTAACCTGATAAATAAATGTTTTAGATTCTCAAATGTTTTTAAATTATTAACTTAAACAAAGATGCATTTTAAAAAAGGAAAAAAAAATCATCTCCCTTTAACTATTCTAAACTAAAAGATTTATTTAGATATTGATCTATATATATTTTTGTATGAGCGCTATTACTTAATATCTGGGCAAAATGTGTTGTTATTCTTGCCATGTTCCATGGCTATCTACATCTAATAAGTTTATATATTTATTAGTAACAGATTATATTTGTTATACTGAAAGAAATTTCATTTTCATGATGTATAGGGAACCATACACGGTCAATCGGAATTGCACTAATGACGTTCCGAATTGTCGTGTAAGGTAGTGAATGAAGTACTGATGATGGTGCGCTGCGGATTTCCGAACATCCGGAAATCAAAGGTTCATTCACGAGAAGTGGAGGGGGGACTGAGGTAAAAGTAATGGGGAGACCAACCATACTGCTGGATAGGTTAGGTTACCTAGGCCTCACAACCATTATACATTTCTGATTTTCATTATATGTAAATAGTTAAATAATTTTTCGTATCCCTTGTTTATAATTTAAAACCATCTTCAACTATTTCTTTTGAATAGTCAAGTGGGCAACAAATTAAAAAAAAAAAATGAGGAAACTTCACAATTTACTTTAGGAAAAAAAAAACTTTAACGTTGTGTATATTTATCACTTCTTTTCCCATTTTCCTCAACAAATTTATTATTTTCGCAATACCTTTCCTTACTTTTTGTAAGTAGTAGACTTATATTTCACTAACTTTTGTCAAAACGATTGTCTATGAGACTAACCTTACTACTAGATAGGTTAGTTTACCTAGATCTCGTTATTAAGTAAATAATTTCATAAAAGTAAATAGTTGTTTATATCCCTAGTCTATATTATTATTAACCATTTTCAACTATTTTTTCTTTAAATAGTCAAGTAGGCAATAAATTGGAGAGAAAAAAAGTGGAAACTTCACAATTTACTTATAGAAAAAAAATCTTTAACTGTTGTGTTTATTTGCCATTAATTTTTCCATTTTTCTTAACAAATTGATTATTTTCGCAATACTTTTCATAGATTTTTGTATGTAGTTGACTTATATTTTGGACTAACTTTGGTCTAAACGATTTTCAGGCACTAGGAAGTAATTATTATATATCCGTTTTTCTCTTGATGCCCAATATTATAAATGACAATGTCCAAATAAGCATATCTATCCTGTTTCTTTGTTTACAACTGCGCTAAATTGGTCAGCAACGATCTAACCTAAATCAGCAACGATAAGTAATGATCAGTAATGATTGAACCTGTAAGGGTCTTCATGATCAAAGCGATCGCGGGCAATCTTGGAACTTCTTGTGACGTTTATTCATGAATTACCGTGTAGGGTCTGCTTATTAATAAATAACAAAATTTTTATGTACTTACCTTTTTTAATAGTTATATCCGGGTTTGTTTTTCTTTCTATCCTAATGAGACCTGGTTAGGGTTACATTATTATTGTTGTTGTTCTTTTGGGTTTAGGGGCAAAAAACTGATGACGGTTATCATTGCCCACATTATTATTTACCTGCATTTTAAAGATATAAGGCTGTGTAGTTTTTCCAATCATAACCTAAAATTCAATTTCTGTCTAGGTGAGTTTTACATTTTTATTTACTTTAACATTCTATTATTTTTTTTTCTGTTGGCATATAGATCTTTACCAGCTTTCTACATCTTTGCCTATCTCAGACTGATTCTTTTCAGTTATCTTCCGCTCTGTTGCATCTTTGTTGATGCTATCTATCTATCCTGTTTTTGGCCTTTCAAGTATTCTCTTGCCTACTATTGAGGCATTCAATATTGTATATAGGCTGGTGGATTGCTCCGAGATACTTGTATACACCGTAAATATTAACCTCCTTGCTTTCGTATTATGAGTTATTTGATTGGCCAGTTTCTTTAAGCTGTTATTTATTGGTCCTTGTCCTCCGTGCTATCCTGGATTTAATAAGATGATAACTTATGAATAACAATTACGAATATTTATGATTATTTTTAATAATTTATATGTATTATATAATGCAAACTTTCATACCTCTGTTTATGTAAATGAAAATATACCCTAAGAGACAAACATTTTTAATTTTTTAAACATAATTTTTTTAATTTAACAAAAATTTTTTTCATGTTGTGTAATGTCCAGCTTTCCACTCATTCATTTGATTTGGGTGCATAGTAATACTGGCATTGTTCTGTAATACCCATTTTGCAACATTCCATTTTTAATTAAAGTTCATATTATTTGATCTCGACAAATCGTATATTATTTTTGATAAAATTTGTCTTTCACCGTTTGTCGATTTTTTTAAGTAGCAAGTTCTCTTAGCCCATCCCGAGTTGCATGAGTACAGCCTTGTCTTTTAAAATTCTCGTATCTGTTTCCTCCTAAATCTTTTGAAAGTTTTTCGATCAAATTGCTAGTAATTTCTCCCCACTTATCTATCCTTTCGAAAATGATATTATAGTTAATACCTGGTGAAAGGTTGGTCTGATCGGATGGGCTTTCCATCATAACTCCATTCCTATTATCCCTCCTCTGGTATTGTACGGATCTGAAATTTGGAAAAATACGTCTGCTAGGTTTTCTGTATTCTTCAAATTCGTAGCTTGTATCAGTTTCTGAATCGCGTCGAAACGGACAAGGTTCGCCTTTCTGTGCTCTATTCCCTTGGTGTTTACGCGAATGTCTATGATGTCTGGTAGGTGGAGGCACGGGTACCATCATATATTGAGGTTCTATCCTTTGGAGCCTGTTGTGATGTACTGGACATAATTTTATTGGAAGACTACATGGCGCTGAAGGATTGCAGTCGCATATCACGATTGCATCCCCCATACACATTTGCTTCTTGCGTAGTTTACACATATTTTCTTTTGACCAAAACCATTCAAATCACTTGTAAGGCATGTGGGGAAATCTAGGGTCTTATTTTCATTTCTTCTTATTTATACACTCATAATCTTCAAATGTTTATGCTAATACAGCCTTATTTGAAGAAGTGCCATTTTTGTTTGAATGATGGTGAAAAAGTGAGAAACTATGTACCTTTCATGTTCTGATTTTACACATGTTTAAAAAATAAATTTTCTAATCTAAAGAATAATAAAACTAATATTTTACAAGTTTTGCTAATATAATGTTGATATATTGATTTAAAAATTTTATACACTTTATAATCATTTTACCGACTTATTCTGAACTAAACATGAACAGATAATTTTAATTCAAAACAAATTTCTTTCCTCGCCGCAGTTTGTTTGTTACAAAGTGGTATAATCTGAAGACAAGAAAGAAATTTCTATCAGAAAATCTAAAATACACCACTAACACCATAACCCCCTAAAAAACAAAATCTGATTGATTTTTTATTCATATATTTTTAGCATATTGTTTATATCTGATTAACCTAACCTGATCCATGAAATATTGCAAGAACGAGTGTAAAATAATTAATATTTGACTCTGAATATTGGTTTATATGTCTTACTTTCATGTCTCGAAGCCATCCTAAAGTTTTTATTTTAACCTTCATATTCTGCGTTGCGTGGTTTAACAAGACTTACCTGAGGTAAGGTATTGCAAGACCAATTTTTATTCTATCACCACACTTGGATTATTGTATCCTTATTTTCGGAGCATAAGTATCCTTAATAACCAAGAAAAATGACAACAAAATATGCCAAACATAAAGATTGAACACTGTCCACAAAAAACCAAATTACTGCAATTTGAAACATGTTTTTCTCTAGTACAGATTTTAGAAAGTATTACGATAGTTTAACTCAGACGAGATTTTGTATATGTACTTTGTTTTAATTTATCGTTTAAAACTTTAGCCTATTCTGTGATTCAATGAAAAATGCCAAATTATCGTCCCATGCTGATTTCGTTCTATAATCCTCATTAAAAGAAGTCAATTACTAGTGTAACTTAAAAAAACATCAAAAACTTCTCTTTCCTGACTGTCCCACCTGATAATTTTACCACTTAAACGGATATTTGGGTCTCTACTTGGACAGAAAACTGACATGAGTACACCACATAAAATAAAAAAAAGAAATTACTTAATCATTTATACGGACTTCTTTTTAGGTTGCTTGACAGAAGTTCTAAATTATCGGTGATTAGTAAATTAGCCATTTACAAAGTCCTCATTAAACCACTTTGGACATATGGAATAGAGTTATGGGGAACAGCAAAGACATCAAATATAAAAAGAATCCAATCCAATCCAAAGAATCCAGTCAAAAGTTCTCCGGAAAATTGCGCCCCCTTTTACGTTCCTAATCTTACATGACAGACTCTAAATTCAAATCCACTTACTCGGGCTGTATCTACTGCTACAAATCCATATAATCTGCCCAAAAGACTGCTGAGGTGCTGGCCAAGAGACTTACTGCATTGACTTTGATACGTTTTTTGAGCTTTTTTCTTGGGTTCTCAAGCGCGATGAAAATATCGAGTCCAATTTGTCAAAACACTCAAGTCTTATAACTAATGCGTTTTTAAAAAAAATATTTTAATACTTATAATTTACACTATGTAATGTTTTTAATAATGTCAGCTATCTTTAAAAAAAATCTATTTTTTTTTTACTTTTCTTCAACTGAAATTCAGCTGTTTGTTTTTTTGCACGGAAGCATCTACGGGGGCGGGAGGGGAAGAGAGGCTTTCGGGCTGAAGCTACCTCCCTCCCCTTCCCCCAAAATGGTTAAATATAACCATCTTTTATGAAAAAAAATATCTTTAAAAGTATTATTGTTCATCTGATTATAGTTAAAAGGACTTCAACAATCACTTAAATACCATATCATATAGGTAGTTAGTTTCTTTCTTTCTTCGAAAGTCTTTATCCTAATATATTTATAAAAAAAAAAAAGAAAATCTTTCGAGCTGAATCCGCTCCAAAATTAAATCTTGGATCCGTTAGTTTTTTTTTTTTTTTTTGTAAAATTTCTATGGATCTTTCAGATTTTAGATGCAAGCTGTCGATAAATATTCTCTTGTAATTTTCTTAGGAAAAAGGATTGGTCCAATAGAAGAGAAATTTTAAATTCATTTATTATTAACTTAATTCCTGAAATTTATTTTTAATAACAAGATTTTTTTTTTTGTAACAATCCAAAAATAAAATTAAAAATCTTGTTCCTAAAATTGTATGACCTTAGTAGTTTTTTATTTATTCAATAAAGTACGGTGCCCACTTGTCTGTTCGGACCTGCCTCAGCCCGAATTAAAAAGTAGCTATGACTGAATACTTAAGGAGTCTTCGCACTAGGCCGCTTTGCGCTTTTCTTGCCGAATAGCCAGCCATTCAGTCATATTTCATTTTTTAGTTCTGCCGAAGAAGTCGGAGTAGACAATTGGTTGCCGTGCTTTAGTTGGAAGGTTGCATGCCAGAGACATATTTAAAAAAACTCTAAAGTAAGAAATAAAAAATACTTAAGAATTTTTACTTTAGAGTAGCATTTGTCTCAATCGGTGCTGTATTTTACTTAAAAACGAATATCTGTTAAAAAATACCCAATTTTGTGTTGCCACTTTTCCATTACATTAGAGAGAGAATCTTAAGAACTTGATGAATACTTATAAAAATTGAAATGGATTTCTTAAATAAAATTTTTGAAAGCATAATAAATTAACCAGGTTTCGATGTAACCATACAATCAAGCTTGTCCATTGGGTGTGTGACCTGTAACTGCAGGAATAGAACAGTAACCACATCCATCTCGAGTTTCAAACAAATTTTAATTCTGCCTCTTAAAAATGGAAGCTACTCCAGCATCTTACATAACTATATTTAAATAAACGAATCCAATTTATATTAAGTTAATATCAATGCAATAACAATCAGTGTAAACTACACTGATAATGATCCAATTTTTGCTAAAAAAAACATACTGTTTTTGGAAATTCGTTCGGTTGGCTATTTAAGACAAGTAACCTAGTTAGTAATACCTAAATAGACCATTGGATGAACTACAGGAAGGAGCAGAAGAAGTAGAAGCTCTGGAGAAGGAAGAAATAATTGATTGACAGGATTCCATCAGATTACTCCAGAGATGTTAAAACATGGTGGCAGTGATCTGTGGGAGGAAATTTATGATGACTTATTTGGGAGATATGGATGGAAGAAAAAATGCTTGAAGATTGGTCTTGTCCAACAATATGTCCAATACACAAGCCAGTATGTGAAAATTATAGAGGCATTGCTCTATTAAGTACAACCTATAAAATATTGGCAGTACTCCTACTTAAAAAACTGACAGATTTCACTGAAGAAATCATAGGAAAATATCAGGGAGGCTTTATGCCTGGACGATCAACAGTTGATCAGATATTCTCTCTTGAGACGGATAATAAAAAAATGTTATGAATTTAACAATATATCATATAACTTCAAACAGGCGTACGACAGTGTAGACAGAAAGGGACTTTTGAAATCTATGATATATGTAGGCATGCCCAACAAATTGGCCATACTTATAAAAATAATGCTAATGAAGACTACCTGTTGAATGAAACTTGCAAATTCGCTGCCCGAAGAATTTGAGGTGGACAATCGATTGAGATAGGGTGATCCTCTATCTTCCCTTCTTTTTAATATAGCTCTGGAAGTGGCTATCAAACAAATTCAGGAGGAATAATCTATAATCATCTGACTCAACATCTGGCATATGCCAATGATGTTGCCATTATCTCTAGAACACAAGCAGATTTATCGGGAACTTTTCAGGAATTCGAAGATACAGCGGATAAACGGGGCTTTAGAGTTAATGAAAATAAGATGGTGTATATGAAAAGTTCAAAAATGGAAAAGGAAGTGAGTACGGAAATAGCTTGAAGAGATCACAACTTTAGGTCTGTTGACCAATTCAAATACCTTGGAAGCCTGGTCACATGCAATAATAAAATTGAGAGTGAAATTAAGGCCAGGATAGCAGCAGGAAATAGATGCTATTTCTCACTAGCAAGAGACTTGAAATTCTTACCACTCTCTCAAAGAATAAAAATCCTCATCTACGAAACGATAGTAAGGCCAGTGGTTATGTATGGGTGTGAGGCTTGGCCCTTAACCCAAACTCTGAACCCAAGCTCAACTCCTAGGAAAGGAAAGTATTGAGAAGAATATGGGGTAGAATCTTTGAGAATGGAATTTGGAGAAGAAAGAATGAGGGGCTGCAAGTACTTTATGGTGAATCTGATATTGTGGCATTGATAAAAAGAGCCAGAATCAGATGGTTAGGTCATGTGGAAAGAATGCCAGACCAAAGAATGCCAAAGAGACTGTTGCATAAGAAGCCAAATGGCAAAAGAATTAGATGGCGCCCTCAGATCAGATGGCTGGAGGATGTGGAGGACGATCTGAGGCGGCTGGCCATTTGAAGATGGAGAGAAGTAGCACAAGACCGTGGAGATTGGTTGGATGTAGTGGAGAATCCTGGTTCTTGCAGGATCCATAATAATAATAATCTAGTTATTGTAACTTAACTCATCAACTTATAACAATGAATAAGTGTAAGCCTTGATTAAAATTTGTAGTGAAATTCATTATGAGAATGCAAATAAACAAACAAAATAATCATTTTAAAAACGACCATGAGTGCTTATCCCCTCTCCCAAGTTCGATGTCACAAGTCCTCCCCTCATTCCAAGAAGTTTTATTGCTCTTGTCTTAAAAATATTGCAAGCGATAATAGAAGAAGAAAAATGTAGATTTGGCAAACTAAATGTTATTAAGATTTCCTTGAAAATAATTGAAGCAATCAGCACGTATCTTTATTTTAAACATAAATTTTAGGACCAGAAATATTTAATTTCTCACTTTTAAATACGAATCAATTCCTACAAGAGAGATCTGGGTGAAAACACAGTTTGATCATTACCTGACATCAAAAATATTTGAAAAATCAGTATTTTACCACTATATAGCCTACTTATGACCGCCTCCCCGGACCAACTCTTTCCTTTATAATGCAATGGTAAACTATTAAATTTTCATTATTTTTTTTATAAATAAAAATGTCTTTAGGCAATTTTGTATATCATAATTAATACCATAACATGGCAAAACAAGAAATAAAAGCTTTATAAAAATTAATTTTAGCCATTTTAGCTTGAAACAGGGGTACTTTTACTTGACAGGATAAAATCACATCTTTTTTTACACAACTTGAAGTGAATTTAAAATTTTTCCCTTATAAATCTCAACTTAATTAATACACACTTAAAGCTTATTAAACAAAGAAGTTTTTCTAAAAGTGGGGATTTTGTAGCATAGTTAGATGAAAATAAAAATAAAATCGCAAATAATTTATGATTTTTTAAAAACAGAAGTTAGCTTAGTTTATCTATTAAAAAGTCTTCTTTAAATTGTTTTAACAATGACAGACTCTATTTTCATTTAAATTAAATTTAACGAGTTTACAGTGAACAATTGATAATTACTTAAATTAAGTATTTCATTAGTTATCGCTTTCTATTCAGAAAAAAACTAATCTTAATTTAAAAAACACATAACTTGGTTTTGCTACTTTTCTGCTGAAAATTGACCTATTGTTTAAATGAACTTTCTTGTAGCTCTTGAGATCTACTATCATTCCTATATAAATTTCTCTCCACTTACGAGACATCCAGTATATTTGCATTGGTAAATTTAAAACTCACCTCAAACTCCCATTTATTTTTCCATAAAACTTCTGAACATACTTTGTTAAAAATATCTGTCATCTATAAGATAGCAAGTATATATAGGAATAATAAAAAAATTAATAAAATATTGCTTAATAAAAAATAAAAATATTATTACTAAAATAGATAAACCTTAAAAATAATAACAAATCTAAAAATAAAAAATAAGTTAATAAAAAGTCTATAGTATAACATTTATTAAGATTGATTCAAAAACGTGTACAAAAAAGATATGCACAAAGTAGTTATTACAACAATAATATTGAGTAAATTAATAAAAATAAAAATTGCGCATATTATACAAACAAATTATATTTAATTTCATTCTAGTCTAAACAAGCTATTTTGTACAATGGCTGCGATACTTAAGATATAATAAAAAAAAAAAAAGTAATAAATATCAATATCACATCAGATATTCATAAGCACATCAAACATACATTTATATATATATGAAGTGTCCCAATTTAATATTAAAGAATGAGCGATGAGATCAAATATTCAACTCACAAAATTTTTACATTTAATATGTACTTACATTTAAAAAATAAGCTACTTATATACAACATCACATAAAAATAAGATATAAAAGATCATATACAATAATTTGACTGCACAGATATTAAAATATATTCCTAAAATTACATTATTTACTACAAGAATAAACAATTTATTAAAACTTTTTATTATTAACATCTGATATGAGTAAAATGGTTCATTTAAAGACATATAACACACATTAATTATTAAAATATTATAATACATTAAACACCGATGTGAACATATTCATTACTGGTTATCCCCTGAAATTCCATAATTTTTAATAGTATTTGGGAATTGCATTTAAATCAAATAATAACAAAATTATTTAATTTAATTTCTAAACATTTAGAAAGACTATTTCAATAATTAAATATTCTTTTCCAACTTAATTTGTATAAAATATAACTTCAACATGAAATTCATTAATTTTATACCTTATTTTTGATAAAAGTAAATGCTAATTATGGCCTGAATCCAAAATAATTTATGAATACTAAAATATTATGTTTTTTTTTTTTTTTATAACTTTAGATGTAAAACAAAATAACCTTACTTCACAAAATATAGACAAATATCATTTGATATTTTAATTTATTAAATAGCACAACATGTTTCAAAATCAAACATTTATTTATTGAGTTTGTCTCAACCCGATATGGTCATTAGGATTGAATAAAACTTTTGAATCAATAATACATTACTAAGTACCAATAATTTTTATATATAGTATTTACAATAATTTAAAATAAATAGTATTTTATATTTACTAAATTTCTTATTTAATAGGCAAAAAGCCAGGTGGAAGGGCAGAAAGCAGATGGATAGATCGAATCAACAAAGATGTAATAGAGTTGCGTGCAGATTACTAGAAAGAAATAGCCCAAACCAGGTAGAGATGGACTAGGCTTGTTAAGGTGGCAAAAAAATCTTCAAGGTCAATTCCAAAAAATTAAAAAAAAAAAAATCTGATTTCGTGCTTTATTTTAAATATTTATCATTAGCATATTTTTTATTTAGACCAAATAGATACTGAGTACTTTTCATTTTGTCAAAAAAGAAACGTTCAGCTTTTAATTAACTACTACACCCATTAGATCATGTGTTGAGCTTTTTTTTTTTTTTTCAATAGAGACACATTATATATTATATTAGACACATCAACAGTTTTCTTAAAAACCCCTCTCCCCTCCTCAAAAAAATAAATTAAATAAAATTATACAATATTCATGACTGAAATCCCTTATTACACAACATACCAATTTCTAACTTTATATTATGTTGGAAAAGATTAGGAAATATAGAATAATAACTTACTCAGTTACCTTAAATCTGATTGAAATAAAAATTCTTTTCTTATCATTCGATTTTGTTCCATAGTAATCGTAAAAAAAAAATTAATGGTCTCTATCATAGTTTGAAAGAGCAAGCTATAGTCAGATAAGCGCTTTATGGGTCTTCACAATAAAAAAATAAATATATGACTCTAGTCACAATACAAATCATGGAATCAAGCTCAAAATTGACATTTAATGAAACACATTTAATTGAAATACATAATGCCTTCTTTGTTCTCCAAAAACAGTATGAGCTCACGATATAGGTACCTCCACTCAATCTAACTATATGAATGGATCAAGGAGGTGACAAGGAGAACAAATACTGAGGGACAAGCATGCTTGGGGTGCCCCGAGCTATAGTAAAATTAAATAAATTATTTATGCATTACAAACAAATTTATAGTTTTAGGGAGAACCCAGAAATTCTCTTCCTCTAAGGGTTTATTCCATACCTCTGAAATAATCCTAGTAAACTTCTGCCCTACTTATAGGGTCCCAAAATATTGTATACTATCTCTCCTTGATGGTGGGCAGAGTGTAAAATTAGGTCAAATCCAGGATGTTTGGCTCTAGTTTCGCTTATTTGAAACAAAAGTTAATAAGTAAATAAAATTTAGTCATTTTATTTTCTACTGTCATACAAACAATGGCAAATGTAATTAAATAAAACTTAACTTTTAATGTTTAGTTGATTTAAATATCTGTAAGAATATATTAGATGTTAATTATGATTATTAGTTTTAATAGACATATAACTTGTCAGTTTTCGGAGGACTGTGATGATTGTCTACTACAACTATGCATAAATGTACTACACAAATATATACATACACATATGGGAATTATGTTTTTAGAAACAAAAAGTTATGTTCAGGATTATTACCTATGCTAATCTCCCTTAAGGAAAACTATCATTAATATTATCATCAACTATCGTAGGAAATCTACAGCATCGCGGTAAGGAGATACCTAAAAATTTAAAAATACTCTGGTAAATAAAATTGGCTTTGCATGGGAGCATTTTCTTCAGATTCAACTAATTATCAGCGTTAGAGTAACTTATCACAAATACATAAATCTATGATATTAATAAGTGATAGATACATAGGACCTTTCTTCCAAATATATCACTAAATAGCTATCATATAAGAAGACTAGAAAAAAATGTTTACGAATTAACAGAAATAAGGATATATTAACCTCAAATCTCTGAAGTGTAACATTTTAATGGTAATTGTGGCTTATATGCAACATTCCAATATTTTATTTTTCCAATATAAAACAATACAAAAGGAGATTTGGTCAACTTTTGTTATGAAATAAGTTATTTAATCTGAATAAAGACAAAATAATTAGAAAACGGGTAAAAGTGATGGGAAAGGGAAATTTTGCAGTATCAGGAGAAAAAGTTTGTTAGCAATTTATATTAGAAAAACTGCTAATTTTGTATAGCGTAAATTTTATCAAACAGACTTTTATCTCTAACTTTAGCCATGCCCAAAATATTTATTTTGTAATTTAAATAACATTTTTGAAGTATTGTCAATGTCATTTGAATTAGCCCTTTCAATATAGATAAAATATAATATTATAAATAACACATTTTATTAGATGAAATTATATTTTCACATATTTCAGAATTTATAAACTATTTCAACAAATATGGGTAATTTAGTAAAACAATTGTAAACTTTTCTTGCGAAGGTGATTTTAGATTTTAATCATGCTAATAAATCCTAAAAGTAACATTTAAAGTGATAAGATAACAGTGGCCCAACTTCCCTGTTATCAATTAAACTATTGAAAAGTTATATCTAATATTCTCACTAATACATGGATAAGCTTGACCAAAAGGAGCTAATTACATGTGTACTGACTATTGCTCTTACCATCATTCCTAGAAGGAAAGGTGAGAGCTCAGACTGTAATGACACCAATGGTGACGTGCCTGTAGTTGTTTTTTTTGGATCACCTGGAATTGTTCAGCTGCCCCATGTAAGAAGCCAGTTCAGCTCCACTATACTCTACCCCTGCATCTTGTAGGCTACTATTGGATATTGTTGCTGGTGCAGGAGCTGTCTGCTTAAGCCTCCTTGAATCGATAGCTCGGACTACTTGAGTGTTTCCCCGAGATAGTACGCTATAAGTCCTTCCATGGTTATCCAATCCCTTTCCTTTTCGTCCACATCTCTGTGCTAGAGTGCTCTGTTAAACAGACCATGAAATACATTTAATTTAAAATAGGTTTTGCATTTGCTATGAAACCTAAATAAATATCAACCTAAAACCATCTAATTAAAGCAATAGTTTTATATTGATAGTATTTCTTATACAATTTAAAACATATAATATATTCTATTAACTTAGAAAACTAAAACATGAAATAAAACCAAAGAATTTGTTACGGTGGCGAGGGATTCAAGATAAATCTTTGCTTATCCATGTCGCCATGTGTTGTAGAACAGAAGAAATCAAATATTGAATTTTAGTCTTATTATATTTTAAATATAATAACATTAATCAGCTACAATGTATCTAATTGAATAAAAAAAAGAACAACGTCAAATTTGGTGGATTTAGAGGAGTTATTAATATTAATAATATTTAGAGGAGTTATTAATATTTAGATAAGTTAAGAGGGATGATACATGACTGCTGTGACAACCATTTGTACAGGATCTCACCTTACAGTATAGAATTTATTGAAAGCATTATAAAACAGCAAATTACTTCAGCGTTGTTTAAATATGAATTTCTTTCTTGGCAGACTTCACTTTCCATTTGATTCACAGGACAATTACAAACATTGGTTGATAAAACGTATTAGTAGGATTAAATTAAAAATTAGAATAAGAAAACATCAGAATCAAATAAGAAATAAAAATCAAGATATTGATACTCAATAAGTGAGATAAAATTTTTTAAAATATATTACATTTTATGGTTAGAGAATGAGTAAATTTTATTATTTTCTTCAGTTTTTTATATTTATCTTAATTTCTTTATAAAATAGATAATTAGTTATGTGCTTTTGATTAAAATACAAATCCTTTTTCGGTTCATTCTTGTAAGTGAAGAATGTAAGTTACCCTTTAACAATTTGTATTAGTTTTAGTTTATTCCCAGCTGTCTAAAAAAAATGTTAATAATAATTATTCCCGTGTTGTAAATATATCAGAAAAATTTTAAGATAGCAAATTTAGAGCTAAGCACAAATTGAGATAGAACTATTGAACTTTAAAATATCAAGGCTAATAAACAGAGATTGATTACTATGTGCATTGTACTTTTTGTGTTAAATTATTAAACTTACGTTTTTCAATATTCATAAAATTTGTTAGCCATAGGTTAAATAATTTTTTGATTTGTAGGTCAAAAACAAGCGAATTTGCCACAAAAAAACATTTGTGCAAAAAATACAGTATAGTTTTCCTGAGTTTTATTAAAACAATTTTTATGCAAACAAGTTTTATCAATCTATTATAGAATTATTATTATAGCTAAACTTTTCTTCTGATGTTTTATGGGTTAGAATAATGTCCAAACTAGTTTTGTTTTTCATTAAACTAGTTATTAATAGACATTGAGGCAGGTCCTCACCATCTAGTTTCTCGACGTCAACAGAGCTAAAATGATGATAAAGATGATACCTGTAAAGCCATAAAATAATGAACCTATCCTTGTCAGTATTAAGTCATTCCTGATTGAGTAAGATCAACTTAAGAAGGCCAAAACAATGTTCTTACTAATCATTATAAACGACTTCTTACAATAAATGCATATATGTTGTATTCTACATTATCAGATTTTATTTGTTTTTTTCAGTCCAAGTATGCATTCAATGGTAGTACTAGAAAAACGACTAACTGTTAATATCACATAAGTTCAAAAAAATGGCTGATGGACAGTTTAAATCATCGTATAATTATCGCTAATTGTCTTGTTGAAAGAATCCGTTATAAGTTGCAAGATAAATATAACTATTTAGAGTGAGTGAAAGTAAGCATCAGTGATTTACTGAAGCTATATAAAGGGCCCATTAAAGTTGGCATCGGGTCGATAATATCCAGAAAATAGCTACACTTTGGAGTGTTACGGGTTATTGCGATAATATTTGTTTGAAGGATTTAAGTTGCAAAAACTGTTAACCACCCATTTATTTTACCTACTTCACTTTTAATGAGCCTGATTGTGTCTAATTATCAATCATGTTGACTTTAGTCTTTTTCAATAGTCAATGCACCCGAAAAAGGTGACCAAAAAGTAGCCATGTGTACGTTTAATTGTTATGTTTCGTTGTTGGTTGTTGGTGGCGCAGGATTCATCGCTTGCCCATTATGGCTTAGACAAGAGACAACTGATAATATAACGAACATGGGAGAGAATGACCGGCAGGTGTTGAATGGTGAAATGATGTGAATATACTACGCTATTCATTGTTCATTGGTTCGTGATTGAACACTTGGGGCGTGTGCAATCATCATCAGCGCTATACCACCGCCGGTCGTTGACGTCCCGCATGGCCTACCAACATCAATGTAGTAGCTTAACTAAATTTTTAATCACTATAAAGATTTAATGACTGGGAAAATTGGAACATACAATACTTGTTAATTATACTACAAAAAAATAACTAGAAATCAAAATAGTGTTGTACGAATTATCGAGCAGCGAAAGAACGACGAGAGACAAAGGTACATAGGAGAGGGTCTCACGGCGCAAGTTACTCCATCAAAACTTTTGATGGGGGCACACTTCGAAGGGGTTATTAATTTTCGGAATGAAAAGTTTCAGACTAAGGCACAAGAGGAAAACAAGGAACAGACCGCAGCAAGTAGTGTTGCCCCAAAATCGGTCTTGGTCTTGCACTTTGCAAAACCAAGACCAAGATCGCCGAACTTCTGCAAGACCAAGACCAAAACTGATAAAAAAAATTGATTTTTTGAATAAAAATTAAGGCAAAATAGTTACTAACACTTGACAATTTTAGTTACTATTTGTAAAATTAGGCATAAAAAGATACTTTTGCATTTATTTCTTCTAATTTTTCATTCGTAGCTAAGTAGGTTTCTCTATATTTGTCCAAAAAATTACAGTAATATCTCTATAGCAATAGGCTAATAGATAACTGCAAGACTGTAACCAGATTCTTGAGCAAGACCAATATTCGTCTTGGTCTCGCATTTGGGCAACATTAGCAGCAAGTTTAATTGTTTATGACCTAGGATTTTTTTTATTCTACCTTTTCTTGCTCTGCTCTTAAGTAAAGGTGTGCAATAAAATCTTGGGAGGAGAGGGGAGGCAGCCATAGACCTTGGGGAGGAGGACAGGCACCTGGACATGTACATCCCCTTTTCATTACAGATATGGAACCTCACCATTGTTGATTGAACTGCACCATTCTTCAGTTAAACACAGGGTGGGGTGGCCGAACGGGCTAACTCGTGTAGCCTATAAAGGCGAGGTAGGGAAGAAAGAAAAAAAAGTTAAACACAATGAGAATTAAACTTTTTTTTTTAATTTCTAAGAATTGAAATTGAAAACGACCTTAGCTAATTAATTAGCCATAAATGTTGTTTAAATTCATATCTTGTGGCAACTTAAGAGTTTAATAAATCGACTGTAAATTTATCCTGACATTAACAAACCTCGTTTTCGCACACTTATTACAAATTCAATTACATCATTTTTTTGGCATACTGGTTTTAGCGTATTGATTTTTTTGAACTTAATTCATTTAATAAAATAAATTAATGTTATGAGATGATATTATTGCAGAAGGGGAGGTGATTGGTGTAAATATTTTCGAATTTAGGAATCATTGAGTTAAACTAATTAAAAAAAGAAACTTAAGTGGTTAGTAATACATATCTATGATTCACAAAGCACACATGTATACGCTGTTTAACATAAGTATATCTTGAAAAGGAAAAAAATACAACTAATTATTTATTTATTAATAGCTTCATCTACCTTAGGGCAGTCAGCCCTGATGATGGCCGAAACGTTGGCAAATGACAAAATAAATATTATCATTTATTTTTGCCTTCTTATTTGACTGATCACTCCAACTATTCTTCTCCACATTATTCACGACAGTTAACTATTTAACCACTATCAAGTAATTATTTAATCATAGAAAGACAGGAATTCAAAAAATAATTTGGCTATCAACACATACGTCTTAGGCCTATATAATCATTTCAAACAAGAGCGATTTTCTGATCTACGGTACACTCAGTCTCTAAAAATTGGATATTCTTAATTATTTGAGAAAAAAAAACCTGGCGGTTGAGTGTGATGGTCAAACCACCTACTTGCAAACCGTTGAACAAGCAACAGATCTTCCTTGTAAAGTAATGAATCCAAGATACTTCATAAGTTTATAGTGGTTAGATCACATCAAAATCATAAAAAAATAAAGTAACTTGTGATTGACAAAGTTCAATTTATTTAAAAGAATCGGACCGAATTTTACACTAGCGGATTCAGGATTTAATTTTTGGGGATGGCTTCAGCCCGAAATTTTTTTTTCATTTATATAAAACGATAATTAATTTGAAAAAAAAATTAACTACCTATATGAAATAGTGTTTACGTGTTTCTTGAAGTCCTTTTAAATGTAATTGCACGAACGATAATACTTTAAGAGATAGTTTTTAATATTTTTTTCTATAAAACATGCTCATATTTTACCATTTGGGGAGAGGAAGGGGGGCTTCAGCCCGAAAGCCCCTCCCCGTGGATCCACCTGTGGTATTTTACCAGAATGTTCTTTCATTTCATATATTCAATAGAATCTGTATAAAATGTAGTCCCTAATTCCAAGAAAAGAATAGAGAGGAATTAGGCCAGAGAAAGACCCTTGGTTAGGAAGTAGGGGAACCATCCACCTCACTAGAAATGTTTTGGAGAGTTGAAAAGAATCAGCTATAGAGTATGACGGAAACCATTATTCTGGGCCCACTGGGGATGCTTTATCACCGTCTCTATTAATCCATGTTTTTGCTTAGCCATTTCTATGCATAGAAAAAAAAATAAAACATTGGAATTTATTACAATTATCCGGTCTAGTTCTTTCTGTTTTTAAATATTATCCATTGGAATGATGAGTATGCTTCGTGAATTAGCTACCCAACACAGTTTAGTAGCTTAGACATTTTATTGTAGTTCTTTCTTCTTTTTTTATTTTCTAACACATACGCATTTACAATACTGTTGTATAGATTTCTTTCCCGACTTTTTCGATTGATTTTAATGAATAAGGTATCAATCGATAGTTTCACGTGGAAGTGACGAATCATAGATTCAAAACTAAAAATTAATACAATCAGAAGTCATTGAAACAAATGGGAGATTTTGGGACAAGGATGGCTTCAAATGTAGACGAATCACGAGAGGGTGAATTATGTTTTAAAATTACGACTTGAAGACAACAATACCCTGTACAATTCTTTTAGAAGAATGAGGGTGTAACTTTTTCGATGTAAACCATATAGTCTATGGTACAGACACCTTTTTATCAAATTAATAACTTTCACATGAAACTTCGTAAATAGCTACTGAAACCGTAAATCTTACGGTTACCTATAAACATTTTGTTTACGAATATTCTCAGAATTGAGAAGTTTTCAATCTTGAGGTTGGCAAACTTTGGCTGTTTTATTAGGTACTAAAAACAAATGAATACCCATTTGCTTTCCTCTTTCGTAAGATAATATGATTACAAAGTAGAAAAAAAAGTGGCATACAAAAATATTGTGGCGTTTGGCCTATATAACCTCGACATTTTAATTTTTTCCAGATGTAGGTTACACCAAATGGACCAATATTTTTGTAGGCCCCCTTTTATTCGACTTTTTCATGTGAATGAAATGGGTATTTAGTACTTAATTAAATAGACAAAGTTTGCCGATCTCTAGATTGAAAACCCCCGAATTCCGAGAAGTTATTTAAATAAAATATTGTTAGTTACGATCAGATGAAACTATTTAAGAAGTTTCAGAAGGATGTTATTAATTTGATAAAAAGGAGTCTTTAACACGGACTAATAATTCTTGCCTAAAGCTTCTTAGGTATTAAGGTTGTCATGGGACACCTAAATATGACATGTTTAATGATTACAATATTGCTATTTATGATAGCCTTCGACGAACTCAAAATGTATTGAAAAATTTAATGGAGGAGAGTAGCTCTTTAATCTCTTGAGTTCTTCGGATAATATAGAACTTTATGATATTTTTAATAAATAAAAAATATTCAGACAGCTTCTATATTTTCAGACTTTTATACTATTAGGGCCAGTTGTATAATTGGAGTGCAAGTCTAGTTCAAGCTTGAACTCCAATTGTACAACTGGCCCTAAGTAGGTGAGAGAATTAAAAAAAACCATGGTTCTTCTGAATCAAACAAATATGTCTTATTACCAATTATCATATTATTAATAATGGTCTTATTACTGAACTGCTTTGCTAGGAACATTTTTCAGTAGGATAAGGTAATCATTCATTTAAAAAAATATTACTTCAACAGTTGTGGAAAAGTATGGGGCTTCTCCAATTGTATGTTTTAAATACTCTATTTTAATAATATTATATTGTATATAAGAATAAACGTGTATATTGTTAAAGAAGTTAATCTATGGAAAGTGAGAGTTCCGACTGGAGTATACTAGTTTATTTCTACATTTCTACACCATCGGTTGATTTTATGATGCTGAGATCACTATAAATGTACTTAGATAAAAACTTTTAAGTTATTTCATTTAAAAATGACTACTATAAAGCGGGTACCTGTTCTTCAGGTATGACAAGTATGACTTTGACTATAAGAACACAATTTTATATTGCTAAAATTGTATATGGCTTTCTATGCATTGCTTAATGAATATATGAATATTATGAAAAATATTTTTTTTTTACTTTTAACTTTATCATGGAGAGAAAACCAGATATATGGTTAAAGGTACATTTATGTTATAGCCCTAACAGAAAAAAAAAGTTAAAAAAAAATATATGGTAAAATTATAATTAAAAACACATGGTGCAAAATATTATTATTAACAAGAAGACAATAATTGTAAAAATAATGAATATATTTTATAATTGAGGTAAATTTTTTGGCGCCACATCAATACGAATCTAATAAAGTTCTGTGGGTTCCACGATTTTTTTTCCACTTATCAGAGCCCCGCATTCTTTCTGCTTTCTCAATATTTTCAGAAGTTTCAAAGTCTACAAACAACACAAATATCAAACCACTCCTCCAACTACATCAACCACATAACCAAATAAAAAAAACATTCCCAAAATCCCAACACCAACCCAACCCCCATAAAAAAACCATTACCCTTTCCCACCACTCCCCTACACAACTTCCCCCCAATCACTCCCCTCTACCTCACCCAACCCAATCAATACATTCCCACCCCACCCATCTCAACTTAAAACTCCCCACATCTCCACTACCCTCCACAAAATTA